GGCCCGGGAATAGCCCTCAGTTTCAGGCTGAAAAGACTCAGGCCTTTTTGGCTGAAACGATGCAGGGCCTGTGGGCCCCGGATGTCAGGCTTTTGGGTTGAACCGTCATAGGGTCTGCAGGCCCTTATTTCCAGGCCTTGAGCCTGAAATTCAGGCTTCCAGCCTGAACAACGCAGGGCCTGGAAAATGGCCCTCGTGTGCGGGCGCAGCATGTAACACTCCCCCCTCCTTATGAAGTCAAGCCGGGTCGAGGGCGCAGCCGACGATCTGAAGGTGGAACCTAGACGCGGTTGCGGCGTGGAGCCGAAGATACCGCCTTGCCTTGCATCTTTCGTTCATACCATACGAGAACATCTGGAGCTATCGCTTCGAGTTCTGCACGGGTCAACCAGCGGTCGGCTCGGTGGGTGCAATACGCAAAGTGTACCAGATACTCGGTCGGCTTGTTGCCGTAGCGTCGCTGGGAAATGATGTCACTGACCTCCTGAAAGCCGTCCATAGAGGGTCGGTCTTGCGATCGTCGCCCGGGAAAGTCATCCTGGTCTGCTGGTGTGTACAGCGCCAACTTGGAGCAATGGAAAACCGGGTAGACGGGCAAGTGGGCGGGCACCTGAACTGTAAAGGAAGGTCCCTCAGTTGCATCCCCAGCAGGTGCTACAATCGGCCATGGCCCCATCCATTTCGGGAGGAGCTTGCGAGAGATATCTTGCTCAAGGCTGAATTCCGCGACAGAAACCCACACGAGGTCGACGGCGCGGAGTGGACAAGGAAGACGCTGGCAATTGGCCTGCTGGCTCATGCGTTGCTGCGTCTTTGCCATCTGATTGTGTGCATTGACAAGAAGCTCTTGCATCCGACGCAAGAAAAGGAGATGGTCGTCGCTCTCGGCCGTGCGTGGAACGATGGTGTCAAACGGAGAAGTGACCGGAGAGCCATGCTCAAACTCGAAAGGAGACATCCCAATACCCGGGTGGATGGACGACTTGTAGGCCAATTCGACATCCGGCAGCCGCTCAACCCAATCCTTCAGATCGGGACGGATGAGAGTGCGAAGGAGAACCTGTGCCATCTGGTGCGCCCTCTCCGTCTGGCCATCCGTCTGAGGGTGGCGAGCTGAACTAGGCTTGAGAGATGAGCCCCATCGTTGGTGAGCGCCAACCAGAAATCAAACATGAACGGAGTGTCGCGGTCGCAGACGATTTCCTTGGGGTAACCCGTGGTTCGAATCCAACCGACGTAGAGAACCTCGACCAATTCGGGTGCCTTGGCATTATAGCGACAAGGCAAAAACATGGCAAACTTGGTGAGTCGATCGACTATCGTGAGAATCCCATCCACACCGGTCTTGTGCTTGGGGAATGGCCCAGTGATATCCATGGCAATCGCCTCCCGTCGACGCAAGGGAACCAGTAGTGGTCGTAACTCGCCATACAGACGATGATTGCGGTATTTGCAACGTCGGCAAATCTCGCATGACTCGCAGTAGCGTGTGACGTCGTCGAGAAGACCGGGCCACCAAAATCGCTCGCTAAGTCGACCAATCGTTCGATTCACGCCAAAATGTCCGGTGGCAGGGGCATTGTGGAACTTGCCAAGAAGCCGTGTACGCAAGTGAGGGTCACTCGGTACGCGAAGAACCTTCCCCCGCGAGTGGACACACAAATAACCCTCCTGGATCCGATAATGAGAAGGTGCCGGATTGGGTGAGGAACAATTAGCGTACTTGTCGCAAAACTCGGGGTCGGCCTGGTAGCCACGGATGAAACTGTCCCGCAAGTCGTCATCAATCTCAAAAGTCGAGTTGACCGCAGTGCAATGGTCTAGACGCCATGATAGAGCATCCGCAAAACGGTTTGACTTGCCCGGAATGTGATCGGGGAAGAAGTCAAACTGGTCAATGAAGGTCATCCAGCGGGCAATAGTGTTGTTGATTGTGTCCTGGGTCTTGTAAAAGACCAACGGATTGTTGTTCGTTACCCATCGGAATTGCCGTCTACCAAGAAGGAAATGCTGCCAGCGCTTGAATGCGTGTACGAAGCCCAATAACTCCTTCCACGCATCGTCAATAGAGTGCACGACAGGCACCTTCTTGCTGAAATACTCGACCGGGTGCCAGTCCACGCCATCGTGTTGCTCGAGGACAACGCCCATACCATAGCCGGACGCATCAGTAGTGACGCGTGTGGGCAATAGTGGGTCGTAGATCCGCAAGACCTCCACCGACAAAAGTGCAGCTTTGAGAGCCAAAAAGGATTCACGCGCATCCTCGTCGAAGTCAAACGGCCGATCCTCGCATTGCAGCTTGGTCAAGTGGGCCGCGATCTTCGAATAGCCCTTGATGAAGCGCTGATAGTAGCCGGCAAGACCAAGAAACGAACGGACATCCGTGACATTACGCGGCTCCGACCACTCCTGGATGACTTGAATTTTCTCCCATAGCGGGCTGATGCCCTCCGGTGTGACGAAATGGCCCAAGTACTCAAGCTCTTGTTGGACGAATTCGCACTTGTCGCGGTTCGGTCTATAAATGAGAACGTCGTCTTAGTAGACCAACACGAACCGATCCAGCATCGCACGAAACTCGTTGGTCATTCTCGCTTGAAAGGTTGTCGGGGCATTGGTGAGGCCAAAAGGCATGATCACCCACTCAAAATTCCCATACCATGTCTTGAACGTGGTCTTGTAGCAATCATTCGGGCGTATCGAAATTTGATGATACCCCGATTTCAAGTCCAACTTGGAAAAGTACTTGGCACCGCCCAATCACTCAAGAAGGTCCTCGATACGAGGAAGAGGCCCCACATTCTTCACAGTTTGCGCATTGAGCTTGCGGTAGTCGATGCACAGACGTAGATCCTTGTTCTTCTTCCTTACGAAGAGAACCGGTGCTCCATATGGGGAGCTGCTAGGGCGGATTCAGCCCTTGGCCAACAAGTCGTCGAGTTGTGCGCGAAGGACCTCCAGTTCCTCCTCACTCATCTGATAGATGCAACCATTCGGTGGCACGACACCGGCCTCAAGAATGATTTCGTGAGAGATCGGCCGATCCGACACCACACCGGTAGGTGACTCGAAGATGTCGGCGAACTCGTCAAGCAACCGTATCACACGGGGGTCCGAAGACAAGTCCGATGGTGAAGAGTCGGCTACTGCGACGGTCCGTAAGAGAAATAGGCCTATCTCGTCGGGTTGCTCATATGCACATGTAGCCCGGAACGATTTTGACGTAACGACTTGGCACCGGATCGAAGGGTGCGGAAGAGGAATAGTACACGGCACCTCAGCTCCGAAGGCGTCGCGAACGGTGAGAGTCCGCTGGTGGAAGTTGACCGTGTGATCCGCACTTGCAAGCCAAGGCATTCCCAGAATGATGTCGAAGTCCGTGTCCAAGATGTCGAACGTGACCGGTTCGCATGCATGAGGTGCGAAGTACACCGGTACGGCTTCGATGTAACGGTCGAGAAGTTGCTGCGTCTTTCCATCCGCCAACTTGATCGCTGTCGGGTTTGCCTTCCTCCGAACCTGCGCGCCAAGGCCAGCCCTTTGCATAAAGGCTTGACTCATGAAGTTGCGAGTTGCGCCGCTATCCAGCAAAGCGCTGCAGGACGCTTGCCCAACTTGGATGCGGACATACATCAGCGACGCGTTATTGCCGTCGTACCGTTGCGTGCAAAACTCGCGGGCCACCTTGGTAACATATGCCAAGATGTCCCCCACCGTGACCTCGTCATCCGTCGGCGAAGTTGGTGGTGCATAGAAGGACAAGTACTTGTGAAGATGGGCGCAGAGTGTTGCACATTGCAGTCTCGGCAAGCGGCCCGTGGTCGACAGAGGAAGCCATGCGAAATCCTCAGATGTGAGCGGGTTCAATTCCTCTATGTTGAACTTGCGCGCCGAATCCCGTGAAGAACCACTTGAAGACGAAGAAGAACCGTTGCCGAACGGAGAAGATGCCGCACACACGTTTTGTCCTTGAGCAGAAGAACCCAGCGTCGAAACGAGACGGGCAGCATAGTCCTCAAAAGAATAGAGAAGAGGACTATGGACTTCCGCATGCGCCCCGGAATGAAGGCTGGTCACTCGCGAAGAAACAGGTTCCGAAGGCGTCGAGAGTGTCGTCGACTCACTCTCGGCGACGCTCAGTTTCCCTGCTTGCCCTTCCCCTTGGTAGGGCAGCCCGCTATCTCGTGGCTGTCGCTGTTGCACCACAGGCAGTAACGGTACTTCATGCGTTGCTTGTAAGCTTGCTCCGAAAGACCGTAGGGGGTCCAGGGCCCCTGAGCTGCTGCGCCGGGCCCGGGGTTTGATGTGGTGTTTGTCTT